CCCCCAATCGCACGGCGAGTGAAGAAGGCGAGTCAACCCACGAGTCTTGCCCTGCACAACAAGGGTGGGACTACTAAACGGAGCGTAGACCTGGTGCAAACCCCAACGGCACCACTTCGTTGCCGTTCTGTAGCAATAGGCCACCATCATCTCACCTGGGGTCCTCCCAGCTGGTCCTGCGAGGTGTACACCTCCCTTCCAAGGAGCTTGTTCAGGGCGGAGAAACCGGTCAGGATGATCGGGCCGTTCCTGCAAAAACAAATTGCACGAAAAAAAATAAGCATGTTTAGAAAAAAAGATGAATCGTGCGTGAATGTGCCAAAACGTACAAAAGACAGGAGGCCGACGACGAGCAGGCACGACGTTGTTTGTCATGAAGCAAGACGGCTTAAGCGAGACACTCATTGCGCTATAACCTGCCTCGATACTACTATCTCTCTGAACTCTCTCTCTCACAGCCTCAACACTACTCTCGCAGTGTCAACACTCTCCCTCTCTCTCTCACTGCCTCGATACTATTCCCGGTGTCTCTTTTCATGTCTCTGCCCGTCACTTCCCTCCCTCTCTGTGTCTGTCTGTCTCTCCCACACACACACACACCTCATCTGGATTGTCCTCTGGCCAAGCCTGACGAGGTAAGCGCCGATGCCCACGGAGCGCCCGGTGACGTACGACAGCGTGAATGCCTCGTCGTAGGCACGAGACGTCTCCCCGGCGATCATGCCCGAACCGCGAAGGTTCTCCACCCCGATGCCGTGCACCTTCGATAAGAGCAAGAGCACAAGCAGACAAGGGGCGCCGCAAGCGTGAGGCTAGGTACGACCACGACACACACACATTTGTGTGTTTTGTGTTTTCAACCGCACTGAGACTGTACGTCTCTTCACCTGTCACCCGGGTAGCGCGGTCGATGCTAATGAACACACACACATTTACGATGGTCGTCAAAGTAGCCACTCCGAACCAAGGTAAACCATGCTCTACACGACAGAGGTGCCCACATATACAGCAACCACAGGGAAGGAATGCGCTTCCAAACCATCTACGCACACACTTGTCCTTGACAAACACTCCGACGTACATACAAGGAGCAAGAAAAACAACACAACTCGAACCGACCAAAATGTACAACCAAAACCTACAAGTCGACCGTGCTCTTGCTTCAAACCTACCATCAAGCGCACACGAACGCACCTGCCCAATGATGTCCGTGAGCGCGTAACGCTTCTCTCCCCCCTCCACCACCTCCTGCGCGATAACGGTGCCCTCCTCGAGAGCCTCGTAGTCTTCCGCGCTGAGGTACAGGTACTTGAAGCCCTGGGCGGGGTTCGACTCGTCATTCCATGCCACCTGTTGAAGGAATGACGCAGGACACAACGCGAGGAGGCGAAGGTAGGGAGAGACCGTCAAGGACATCGATGATTTGACGCGCATTTCATACCAAGAGAAGGAGGACGGATGGTTTGGTGTTAGAATCTATGCGCGAACCAAAGTCTCAAAAGTAATACCGGATGTCGAGAGCTTGTAGTAAGACAGCGCTTGGTGTTGCGCTTGGGGAGTGACTGCCGTCGCCGCCGCCGCCGACCTCAAAACGTCCATCGTCTTTCTACAACTAACCCAACCGATGTGTTGTTCCAAGCAAACAGAAACCCAATATATCAAATGACACACGAAACAGCGCAAGACAAATGAAAGCGTGACACCTCGAAACACCTTCTGGGTTGGAGAGCCACAAGCTACTTCCTCCCATACAGATCCACAAAACACAAAACAACAATACGAGAAACAAAAAGGAAAATAAACGACAGTTGTCGACTCGTTGGCTTGGAGACGCATGATGCGGCACTAATCTCCCATACAAAAAACACACGAAACAGCAGTGGGACGAAAAGTAGCACGAGAAAAAAAAAATGCTTACCTTGAACTTGGGCTTGAGCTCCTCGACGAGGCCGATGCGTGCCCCGGAGTTGGACGAGATGTAGATGCGAGGGAGGCCCAGCTTGCGGGCGTACTCGGAGGCAGCCAGGAAAAAGTCGTCCTGCACACGCACGACACACGACACACGACACACCACGGGGAAAGACAGATAAATTAAGTAAGTAAATAAATAAAATAAATAATCCTTCTCTGAGTAACGCGCAATACAGATAGCGCCCGCCCGTACTAAGAACTTAGCAGTTAAGAAATTGAGACTCGCAAAAAATCAGAAGCTAAGAACTTGAGCACCATTTGTGAGCTCGGGTAACAACCCCACACTAAAACCTATATAGCGGCCATTTGTAGCCCATAAGAGGATGATCAGCAAAACAAGAACTCCAGCCTCGGCCGAAACTAGAGGTTCTTAAGTGCGGGCGCCATCTGTACATAAACAAATTAATGAACAAATACAAGCATATAAATAAATGAACGGATGAAGTGGGGCGTGCTAATGTTTACGTTCCGCGTGCCTAAGCTGTGAGACCATTGAGCACGCGTGCTCGAGAAGACGGGGTGGGTGGAGGGGGGTGTACTCCTATAAAAGTTGCAGCGAGCGTGTTAACCGTGCAAGGGCAAGCGCGTGCGCGGACAAAACTCAGCGAGGCAGTCAAGCCCAAGAGAAGATGTGCCTCTTGCTGGACTTGGGGGGGATTAGAGTCGTCCTCGACATAAAATTAGTCCAGGAGGGCCGAGGGATAGATACCTGGCGATCCTACAACTTATTCGCTTGTGTAGGACTCATTCGAGTCTTTAGTCGAAATCTATACAATACCTTGAGAAAAAAATTATCTTGCCAGCCGGAACGAGACCCATCTCAATCGCCTGCTGTGGTATTATCTCAAACACTCAAGTCCTTCTGTGCTTGAAATTTTCTAAAAAATCCTTGCGTGAGTATTTTTTCAGCTGTAGCATTTTATCTTGAACGGGTAGTTCTTATGTGATTGTTATGAATACCCCCGAAGAGAAATAATAAACTCACGGAGAAAAACTTCTTTACGTTACAGTACACACCTCGGCAACTCCGAAGGAGCCGGACTGGAAGGTGACGTCGTTGGCGATGATGACGATCTCGCGGCCCTCGGGGTACTCGGGCGTCCGCATCATCACGTGCCAGGCGAGCATGCCGACCTTGTTGGTGCCGACCACCCGGAACTGCTTCTGGAGGGTGCCGTCTGACTGTAGGACCAGCTCGTCCGACTCGAAGAGCTGTGACGGTGGGGTGCGTGCAACGCGGCGTGTAGCAGATGCGACAAATGGAGAGGGGGCTGGGGTTAAGAGAGAGAGAGAGAGAGAGAGAGAGAGAGAGAGAGAGAGAGAGAGAGAG